TGATCAGTAGTCATACTGAGAATTATATAATAGAGATATTAATAACTGTGATTAAAAATAACTATTAAGATATTAGTCTCAGTCTTCTTACAATTATAACTGATAATACTGTGAATAACTACACTATAATAAAGAGCTTAAAATAAAAATTAACTTTGTATTTCTGAAATAATAAACAAGATTATATTCTCTATATTGTTTATATAATTCAACTTATAATATAAACACTGATAAAGAATCTTAATATCAAGATAAAGAATAATGAGATAGCTGATTCTTGAGATGAGAATGAGATGAAAGTGATTACTTAAGTAACTTTTACATTCACTTTATAAAAGATAATATTTTTTAATAATACTTTTTAATATTACTTTTTGATAATGCTTTTTAATAATACTACTATTAATTTTGAATTGATTGACTAATAATTTAAATATCATAGATTTAAAACATTACTAATATAATTTATATCTCTTCTAAATAATAATAATAATTTCATAATATTTAATAAATAAATAAATCAGTCACATCACTGAATATGATACAGAATATTAGAACACAGTGAAGTTCAATATATAAGATAACTATTCAGACTCTTCAATTATGTCAGATAATTAATTATTAAGTGCAACACTCTGATTAAAAAAAGATTCAGATATTAAAACTTTTTAATATGAAGTAAACTCAGTTGAAATATATAATTAATTTACTGTTTCAGTTTTATAAAATAATAAAGACAGTCTTAATCACTTATATATTAATACTGCAGTCAGTCTGATAAATATATAATAGTTTATTTACTTATCTTAAGAAGCAGTTGAATCACTTAAAAAGAAATTCAGTCTGAAATAATACTATAGTGCAGACTATTATTACTATAAGAAATAAACTAGTATATTACTACAGTAAAATAGAATAATCTTTTACAGAGTACTATACTATAACAGCTTTACTAGATCTCTTCTATTAAGTTAATATCTACACTTCTCAAGATTGAACAGAGAAGAAATAAGACTTATATATTAAATTAGTCTGAGACTACTACAATGCTAACTATCAGAGATTTAAATAAGTAGATATTTAAAATATAAAGACAGTGAAATACAATTCTCTAGTAAGTAATAATCTTTGATAATACTTTATATTATATAGAACTATAATACTAACTTTGAAACAGAACTTATATACATTAATTGTAACTGAAAATCAGATAAAACTATATATTTATAAAACTGAATTTGACTACTATCTTTAAGATGATTCAATGAATTTATATATTAAATTAATTCTAGAGTTATAAAAAATTATTAAGAGTATATATTTAACTATTATACTGATAATATATAATATTCTGATAATTTCATTGATAGAGATAAGAATAAAGTAAAAGTTCAACTCAAGTTAAAATATTTATCACTATTACTGAGAACAATTATAAGAAGAAATAATTAAGAAACTTATAATTATAAAATATGAAATTATCAGACAGTTTAATATCTCTGATCATAGTATATTAGAGAAGTGTAGTTTTTATAAGAAAGTAAAGAATAAACTTATATAAGAATATATTTAGTTATTTCATGAGTATTATTAATAATTATTATTAAATTCTGATTATATAAGTAATCACTGAATAAATTAAATAAGACTGATTTTAATTTTCAGTCTCAGTCTTATTCTGATTTTGAAAGAATAATCATCTTTCATAGTTTATTCTGAAAAATTACTCTCATTTCACTGTTCTTGAATTAAATCTGGTCATTTTTCATGTCATTTCTCTCAGAAATGGTCCATTTTCAGATTTTTTTAAGGCTTGGTCCTGATGGGACTCATGCCAAGAAATGTATGAGATCAGATCAAATGGGATCAAATGTGAAATTCATGGTCCCGGCGGCCAGTCTACATTCTATCAAAAATATTTAAATGCTCTGACTCATACAGCTCAGATCAATCTTCAAATCTTCATTCTTTTTTTTATTCTGCTTCTTTCATACATTCTCTACAGTACTTACATTTCTTATGCTCTTCACTATGTTCATTTTATCAAATGCTCTGTAACATGATCTCATGTGATGTCATATACACTTCTTTGAATTCAGATGAGATTGAAAAGCTGGCTCTGCAGCGGCGCAGCCTGTACAGCTCTGATTAATCTGATAATGATGATGAAGGTGATACAGGGTGGAAGAGAGTGATTAGGGTGATAGAGGTGGTCGGGGTGATAAGAGAGAGGTAGAGAGTGGAAGTAGTAGAGGGGGCTGCGGGGCGGTAGGGGCGGTGGTGGTGGTAGAGGGGGTAGGGGGTGGAAGGGGTGGAAGGGGTGGTAAGGGGGGTAGGGGTAGAAGGGTGGAAGTGGTAGGGGGCTGCGCAAGCAGCAAAGCGAGCGTAAGCGAGCGTTTGATGCTTGTAAATAATAATAGACGTTTCAACAAACTAGTGAGGTCTGCTTACATAACGAGGTCGCGTGGTTTACTTATACGAACTTTTCTCAGCGGTCGTACACACCCGTGGACAAAATAGGCAAAATAGAACCAGAAAACTTGGAGCTTCTCTCTCTCTCTCTCATCATCAAGATTATCTGAGAAGGTATCTGAAAACTTTGCCGATGCAGATGCACATAAACTCAAGGAAAAGCTGGTTATAATTCAGATATTTTGATTACTTAAACTCACCTCAAAGCCCCCTTCAACAAACTTGAAAATGGGACAGGACTTTTGCCTCATTGCACCTCGTCGTCGCGAAAAGCTAAGTTGGAATTGCAGACCTGGTGAGGACCTGTTCAATGGATCTGCATCCTCTCTTGTTTCCCTTTTTGCGACACCCATTATCCCCCAATCTTATGACGGGAAGAACAGTCACAGAACAGTCCTACCCAACCCAGGGAAAACTATTCCTCAGAAAAGGCGACTTGACCCAGACTGTCTTCCTGTTATTATGCCATTGACCCGTGCTCCGGCGTGCACAACTGAATCTGGATCTATCCTCATTCAGCTTCCCACCGAGATCCATTACCATATTCTCAACTTCTTGGACGTGGAAGATGTCTTTCTTTGTGGTCTTAGCTGTCGGAGGCTATGGACCCTCGTGAGACCGGTAATCGCAAAACATTTTTCCGGCTACTTGGGTGTTTGGGCGGGAATTCCAGTCATTTGTGTGGGTCAGGACAGCGGATCCGGTGGCAATGCCCAGCATCCTGACGGCATGCTGTCCTCAAACGAATTGAATGAATTGGATGAGGGCCTGGAATTTGAAGAATTAGAGATCGAGCTGGGCGACAAACTGGCGGAGGAGCTGGCTGGTAAACCTGTCAATTTGTATGACATTGCTGACGCTCGATACACCGGCATCACTGAAGTCACATCGAGTTTTCCGCACGATCTATTCGGCCTCGCCCTCGATCTTCGCCACAAACACCCTAGTCCGATAGATATAGTTCAAGTGGCACATCCAACGCCACAGAGTTACTATCCATGCAATGAGGAATGGGTTCTCAGAAATCTGACAACGCATGAGTTTGTTCGACCCTCAGCAGTTGCATTAGATGAGAAGTACATTAAAGGCCCGTTTATCGATACACTAGGGTACGGTGAAGTTATCCTCTATAAGACTTGCTGGTCAACATCCGATTATTCATTGATTCAGGGAAAAGAGATGCATCGAGGGGTTTGGGCTGGCCACGCACTCGATATAGTCACCGCGACCCACTTAAATGGTGATGCTTCATGGAAAGATATTAGTGATGAGATTGCACAAGAGATCTCGGAAATTTGGGAAGAGGTCTATGGGGAAAACTGGAAAACTGATCTGGTCAAGGAACGGCGCCGCTGGTAACCTATTTTCACCCTCGCCTGTGATTTTGGATGCTGTATTTTTAAGAAGACGCGGTTCAGCATTCAGCTACAGCAAAAGATATGAATGAGGGGATATGCACAGGGTCTACGTTACATCATCAGTAGATGTCCGCGGATCTGATCCCGGGCTGCCGAGTGGAAGGACGAAAGCCCTTCGCTGACTACTCTGACGGGCTACAGGCGTTTTATGCAAGAAAGGAGATCGCGCAGGGATGGTGGACCGTACTCTTATTTCTTTCTCAGTCTCTTTTACTTCTTTGCGTCAAGTCTTGACATCAATAGAATCTAAATCTCGTTATTAACTGATTATACCTAAGGAATCCTCACAGGAACCATCATCACCTAGTTATGCCAGATAAGAGACTAAGAAATAAACTATGAGAGGTCTCTATCATCAACTCTTTGAGTTCTCAAATCCTCTACCCTACACTCGATCAAATCCAGACCTAAATCATCATCGAATTTCCCTACCATCCACTCAAACTAGCGCCTAGTGTCAGTATAAAAGAAAGGAAGCAGGGGAGAGGAAAGGAAGAGCTCCACGATCAAGATATGATTTTGCAGCATGTAATAATATTCCTCTCTGCTTGAAAAGAGGGTGTTGTGATTCTATAACTATGATATTAATTAGCGTTACATAACTGTCCCTTGATCCATATTATATTATCCTTTCCATTGCTCAAACTACAGTAAAGCCTGTTTTCAATAAGCAAATCTTAGTTCGTCTCATAGGATCACACAGTGACAATATACAGGACTCAATGCATGACCCAATACATGATATTATTATCAGTAGGTATATGAATTAAAAGAAAGTTATATACCAGAATGCAACCTATACTACCCGCCGCATGCAATGCTCTGTTCAGCTCTCTCGAGTAATAACTTTCCCTTGAGTAATGTACAGCTTAGTATCATCTCCTACGGCTAACGACATTGCATCCCTTCAAAAATACCATCTGACCCTTGCCTAGGATCATTGTAACGCGGTTTTCTAGGACGCTCTCAAAATCCATAGCTGGATCAAGAATTGGTGAAGATGGATGTAGTCCACAGGGGCTATAAGGCTTGCTGCGAGTTTCTCAGCAATCTTGCCCAGGCAGCTGAGTAGGCTGACTACCCTCTAGGCATTAGCCTGTCGGGCATTTCTCAGTAGTATACGCCTGGCAACCTTCCAGGCGTCCGCGTGAGCTCCCAGGCGGAAGCATTGCCTGGCAATGGCCACCAGGCACTCCGAGTCAAAACCCCAGAGCCGCTGAAGACCCTTAAAATTGAGCCTGTCATTCCTGGGGCCTTCTTAGTGCTCTGACCAAACAGAGCCTTATCAACCCGCTCTGGTGTTATTAGGGCATGAGCTTGTACCCCCGGTAGCTGCCTAGGGACTCCATCGCCGGGGGTATTCAGGAAGGCTAAGCCCCTAATACGGGCTTCTTTGTTGGTGACGGTGGTGGTTGGGCTGGCTGAATTGGGTCCCTGGAGCGCTGAGTGGCATCCCCAGCTGATGGCTTGGTATAACGTAGGGCCATCCAGCAGCGGTCAGGATCCGGGGCTGAGGATCCCATTGAAGAATCACCCCAAGAAAGCCTCCCATCATGTGCGTTTGGTAGTCTATATGGATTTTCTAGCTCGTCGTACCTCAATGATATGATCGATATCAGCCTGCTTTGCTTCAAGCAACATGCCCTCTCCCCATGGCGTGTATGCTGGTGTGCCGGGTAAGGTTGTTCGTCACCGGATTGACTTGGTAGTCTCATGGAATCCAACCTCAGAGGTTGGGTCAACCTTCCGTCTGGTATACCTGTAGAATCTTTGTCCTTCTCTTTATCCTGCACAAAGCAATGTTGAGAAGGTTGGTTTCCCTTCTAAAGCCCTGCTATTCTAAGCTGTAATCGAGCCAGTTCAAGCTGCATGGCAAGCTTTGACTGGTGCTCCAGGGTCGTACTGTCCTCAGTATCCCCATTGCCTGTTGTGAAGGACTCGCTGCCGTCTGTTTAGTCATTCAGGGTTGTTCGGGGGTTGGGAATATTCCCGCTCTGTCTTCTCCCTGGCCACATGGCTCAGGGGTTCAGTGCTTCATTTGTGAGTTGTTTTGATGGTCTACACCAGGCAGGTCAATTCCACGTCCTGTACGCATGGTTCAGTAGGCTTCCTATATATCCTACAGGTCTTCCAGTTGCAATGTTCGCCCGGCGGATGGTTATCACTCTTGGGATCTTAGGGGAGGTCTTGGGCTCTGAACGCCTAAAGATAAGCCTCCGGTCCTCCTTATTCCCCCCCTTAGCAGGCTTAAGATCAGCAGGCCTGCCAGTGTCTGACTGAGCACCTCCAGACGCCTTCTTGGAGGCCCGGTGCTTATTACTATCTCTCTTCCAGTCACTCTGCTATCGCTATGTCTGCCCATCTAGGCTGCACTGAGAGGAGCCCTGGGGGTGGTCCTGACACCCGTAGTTTGGGGGGGTACAGCTCCGCTGAGCCCTGCGCTAGCGGCTCCGCTTGGTGGTCTGTGCATTGTCTTGGCGCGCAGCCCGTCCTAGGCGAGAAGACGCCATTGGGGGTGCTGCGGGCGCCTGGGGGGTTTTCGCTGCTCAGAAGGGAGGTCTCGGGGGTCAAAGAGGGCCAGCTTGGCCTCTAGAGCTTCCAACTGAGTGTTGGCTTGAGTTTCAAAGGCTGAGAGGCGCCCCTCAAGGGCTTCCATGGATGTACCAATCTCGCTTCTAAGGACTTCGAATTCCGCTCTCAGAGCCTGCTCTAGGCCTGAGGCATATGACTTGAGGTTGGCTTTAATTTCCTCTCTGAAGGGGGTGAGAAGTTTCCCTCTGAGGCTTCCAGGGACTTCATAGGGTTTCCAGGGCGTGTGCCTCTTTCTGGGCTTCATGAGCACCCGGGAAGGCGCCACGGTGGTGCCCGTGCGGAGCCCAGCTTCAAGCTCCATTGAGGGAGTGGTCAGTTGCCCCTGTAGAGTTCCTGGGCTCTCGGTGCCAGGCAAGGGGGTTCCGGTGGTCGTTGGTGGTGTAGCAGGCCTGGGGGTGCCTGTGTGAGGGCTTCGCCAGCCACACTGGGCATCATGCCCACGCCCCCGAAGGCTAGGGGGGATATTCATTCTGTACCTCCGTGACATGGAGCTGCGCCCCTTTACTTCCTTTCCCCAAGGTTCATGCAACTTGATCATCCGTTTTCGATTGTTCGAGGCTGGCGATGGTGGTTGTGATCGTGATGCTCTCTTGGCCTGCATCTGGAGTGAAAACCTGGAGAATCTGGTTTTCTCAACTCTTCTTTTTAAACCATTTACTTTTCTCCCTTCCACGTATTTTTAGCAATTCATTTATTATTATTTCACAGCCATTACAATCATGAACAAGAACCAATTATTTGCCCAGGTGGGCGGCGAATCATTACAACAGAGAAACAACACAGCGATGCTAGAGATGTGACTGCGACATTGCACCCAGCTCAGTCGCCAAATTACCACCATGTAGAGCCGAACCCTTGAGGAATTATATTCAACATCTATGACGTTGCGGACGAACCTCTTGTATCAACTCATTACTATTTTTAAAATTCACCATATATCTCTTTATATAATAATTATTATTATTTAAATTGTGGTGGGAATCCGCCCCTTCTTCATATGGAGGAGTGCTTCCGCCCTTTCTTCACTTGGAGCTCTCGCTCCACCCCTGCTCCTTCTTCTGCTATTCCCGCGAATGCTCCTTCCACTTGGCCACTGTTTATTGTAAACACGTACACGTGTACTCTGTATATATATATATCTATATATAAAGGCGTTCGCCCCCTATCTTTTAGAAGAATAGACATGGAGTCACATGAATATATATCCTTTTCGCTATAGGCATCTGGGCGTACACCACATAAATTCTCTATTAAATTCTTTATAGAATAATATATATTTTATATTATAACATGCCATGTTATTTTTCCCAGGAAGGGCCCAGTCATGGCTAGCTCTACTCTTGGGGGAATAATCCCCATTCTCTATTTTTCAGAAAGAGCGTGCCCCAGCTTCCCCTATTCTTTAGAAAGAACATGGCTCAGTCATGGCCAGCTTTATATCTCCTATTCTTCACAGAGGCATGGGCCAGCATCCTCCATTCCTCGACAGGGCAGCCCGCCATATTTTCATGGAGGGAAACGCCAGCATCCCTCTATTTCTTCCCCGAGACATATATTAGCCATGTAGGGCCACTGCCACTCTTTTCGTGCTGGACAGTGAGAATCGTGAGTCAATCATGCCTATTTTATGTGAAAAGTTTGATTACACCATCTTCTGAGACCATGAGACAATGTGCTGGCACAGAGCTTACTTCTGGAACATCATCACTAGACTCTAGATCCCCCAGTCAAAACAAGTTACAGATGTTCCATCCATCCTCGTAGGAATGATAGCAAACAAAGCATCTGCATTGAGTGTTTCTGGCATGTACATAGACAAACAATTCATAAACTGCTAGTCCTCCACTCTCTTGTTCCTCTTTCCATAATTTGCTCACCATTAGCACAGTGTGAAATGGTTCAGGAGGGTTTTTGATCATGTCCTGCCTCACATAGACTATCCATGTTAGTCACCACATTATCCTCGCCATCAGATGTTCCACCAGCGTGTCCATCGGTCCCTTCTCATGACGATACACAAGTGATAAATGTGGTGGATAGTCATTCAGTCGTGCCGTAGGGCCGTGCCAGTGTACTATAAAATGTTACTGGAAGGACTATGTGGCATGAACGAGACTCCTGTTGTCGGGACCAAACTGATGAGGGTGGGCTTTTTCGTTATTCACGCGTGACACGGTTGGATTCGATCAAGTGCAGTAGAAAAGGTATGCTTCATCAAGTTTCCCTTTTGCACAATCGGCTTGCTGCAGTAGAGATAATGAGATTAAGAATGGATGTGTGTTGGGTGCGGCGGACTCAAGCACATGGATATCCAACTCACGATCTTTTGGCTCGTAGTACCGTCGTGGCCCTCGACCGTGATGCTGTCACCATCAGCATCAGCACGCAGGGATATATGGGGGATCTGACTTACCACCTTCATGACACATATACGGCCACTAACCATGACAAGGAATATCACGGAATAATCGGAAGCAAAAAGCTTTTCCTTGAAAATAATTTCGGAAGATTTGATATTGTTAAACTCCATCATTACCCAGTATCGCCAAGCACTGACCCAGGCCAACTGGTAGTTGTATGAGACAGCACAATTCTCAACACGGTTTTCTTCTTACAGATCGTGAATTGGTCGTCTTCCAAAGAGTGGATGACAACGGCAATCTTGAGCTTGTTCCACCCATTCCATTCGCATCCAGAGGTACCGCTGAACACCCCAGGATGCAGGATGGACAACGGTGGTTGGCACTTTAATCCTGCGGGATAGTTAGTTCTGGAAGCCACTAGTTACACCAAAATAGGTTGCTGCGAGAACCTTGAACCTTCTTTTGGTGGCACGGGTAGAATTCAATTTTACATATATAACTTACCTTTCATCTTTCAACTTATGGTAGAGTTGACAACGCCATCTTTTCCCTCTATGATTTCAAGGAACAATTTTATTGCAATTTTTACAAGTGGTAACTGATGGTCCTTTTTTCACTGGACCTGGTTGAAGGATTCTTTGCAGAGTGAAAACTTTACTAGGAAAACTGATATTTGATCCATATGGATTTGCTATTTCTGGTCTAGTGCTCTGAGATCTCTCTCTAACAAGGAAAGCTCCTCTAGCAATTTCCTTGAATGGTATGTATGTCCATGAATCTTTAAGTCTAGCTCCCTGTTAATCCCAGCGAGGAGCTTTAATTCGCACTCAGAATTGTTTCCAGATATGATTTAGATTTATAGATAGATTCTTTGCAGTGAACGTATTAGAAACAATGGAGGGCTATGGTTCATCTAATTGACATTTCTACGTGTATAGGCTCCTAATAGGGTAGAAACAGAGATCATTAAAACATACAGAGGGATTATGGTGTGATGGACGCGTTCCAACCGGGCGGGAATGGGGACGCGGGGCGGTGTTTGCAGATCGAGATAAGAGATAACCTGGATGGCTACGGGTGGTCTGGGCTCACCGTGCTATGGACGAAGTATGCGTGGCTCTAGGGTTCCATCTTGCTCTCAAGGACCACATTGCAGCCGCGGACACCTGACTGTGTCCCCAGGCCTGATCCACTGCAGATGTTTTCATTCAAGGTGAGGTGCTTGGTCACCCCACCATGGGTAGAGAACTTATCCAGACAGATGAAGCAGTACTCTGTAGAGTGGCCGATGATCCTTCATTACCATCTCAGATACAATCTCCCTCTGGCTGGGAGGCAGAGGAATGTGCATCTCCACACAGACCCTCTTCTGAAGAACCTGGGCGGTTAGATCTCTTGTTGTGCGGCAGTCAGCAGGTATCCCCCTCCACAAAGAGGCAGTATGCCACAACAGCATCAATCCCCTCAGTGCACCAGAGCATCTCATCCCACGTCTAGTTTCCTAGATTCTTCAACATATATTTTACCATGTCACTGGCCTGGTGGAGGCTTTCTCTCCAGACAGTTTTGCTGATGCGCTCGTCCAGGTTCGCAGAGAACATTCAACAGTGATGCTTCCTGGGGAATTATTTTAGCAAGTCAAAGTGCACACCAGAGCTTGAGCTGCCGGGTGATCTACCATTCATTGCTGTTCATCTGCCATGCAATCTTTGTTAATAGACTAGAGCAGAGAAAAGTACAAAGGAACAAAAACTTACACAAAACACATTCGGCCCGAACAAATCCAAGCAACCGAGCAACAACAGGTGCTTGCAAGAAATCATTTTTCCTCTGCAGTACGGAGTGCACAATGACCGGATCCGCTATCCTATTTTACAGTTAGAAAACCCGCCTTTGCTCCTTTTTCCCACGTCGCGAAGGCCAACTTGCCAAATCGTGCCTTCGTCAGGGTTAACAACGGCAAAAATATTCCCCAGCCGATCATGGAACTCGCGTTTTCTGCGGAACTCCCAGCCATGTTTCACGACATCGAGACGGTCATGGAGCCACGCTGGAAGATATTTTTGGAAGAATGGCTGTAGGGGCTGTCCGAGGATCATCCATGGGATACTTTTGGCCGGCACTGGCGAGACGATGCTGGGAAACCCGGTCCGACGAGCATGGATATAAGACCTCACAAAGGATATCGATTTGATATGCGAGACAAAACGTTGCCACGGCTGACAGAAGAGTAAAAGCCATACCCTCGCCAGCTTTGTGGGGGGAGGGGGGGCTTTAGGTCAAGGTAGAGGTAGAGGTAGACAAATTTCCACCTCCAGTTAAGCTCAAATGTAACTAAAAATCTAGGTTGAAGGTCTCCCCGCGATGACCGCCTATATTTAGCGCCTGAAGTTACAATCTTGAAGCTATTTTTAGGCGAAAATATAATATTGCTAATAGTTAACTACACACTAAAGTTCTTATTAATAAAATTTCTATGCAACCTGTTGGCCCTTACGGCCGTTGCGGTTAGCGATCCCACTTGATCACATGACCCACCACTATAATACCATAGGGGAAGAACGTAGGGTTAATTTACGGTGATTACACCGTGGATCCACCATTCCACCCGTGTCACGTGTCGCCGATTGTAACACATGTTCCATCATTATATTCAGTGACACGTCGCCGAATATTAAACATCAAGATGGCGTTGAAACAGCACAGGACTTCTTGACATCATCAGGGGACAGCTCAGTCACCATGTAATCAGCAGATGCCATGATCAAGATACTACTGGGATACTGTGAGCCACAATATACTGTCCTGTCAACAAAACCAATACTTGTATACTATTCAGCTAGACTAGTTAACTACTTCATACAAATCAAATTACTATCTAAAGAAATGAGACATCTCAAGTGCAATGTAAATATCTTATTGTCTGAGATTCATACATTAAACAATCATCATTTTCATCAGTATTCAGTATTGAAATATCATGCAATGCTGTCTTTTGAACTGCTGGAAGCTCAACAATAGTGTAACTGTTGAAATTCTCTTGTAAAATCAGCAGATTCAGCAGATGATCCTGTCTGACATGATGTAGAGAAGTAAGTGTAAAGAAAATTCACTTAATTTCTCTCATTTCATGAATAAAGATAGTTGTAATCCAGCCAAGATTGACTCTCTGATATTGAAGGATATTCTTCTTCATGAGGGAGATTCAGTGAATGCACTCTCTGATTTATATATTAACAAGTCAATAACTGATTGATTGATTAGTTGAAGAGACATACTGAACTGAGAATGTCAACTTATTATAGAAAAGAATCAGATGATGATCTAGTTTCAAAACTGAGAACTTATTTCAATCAGTGTCATAGAATTCTCACAGGTTATTGAGAAATGAATGAAGCAATTCAAGCTTGAAGAGATTCATAAATTATATACTGACTTTCTCTGATATCTTGCTTGATGATAGATAACTAAAAATCTTCAGAGTAATATGATCTTTTGTTGACTCTAACTTGACAGAGTAGTTCAGCAAATCATCATTATCATCTGATTCTTCATTCATTCTCAGAAGATTATTGAACAGTGCTGAATAAACTGTATATAGCTGTTGAATCTTCTGTGTCAGATGCAAGTCAGACCTGTCAAAAGAATCTCTCAATACTAGTTACAAGATGCAGTGAAAGCTCTTCTGCAAGAGCAGTGTCTTCTTCACATCTCAATGATTTATTCACTGCACTAGATTCTTGTAGTCTCAATGCTTGTTCTTCCCTGTCAGAACATTGCAGTTGTTAGATACAGTGTATTCTTTAATCAGCTCAATATAGTGTAAATTAATATGCATATTTGACTGACTCTTCATATATCATATAAGCTTTGCTTTTTTAGTATAATCACTGATATGTGTAGCAACTGTGCCCATTGTTGAAGCAGGGGATGACTGGTGACTAATAACTGAACCAGCTCAGAATGATTCAAATGTCACTGCTGCTCTTATCATGACTTCAATAAGAAATTGTAGCTGTCAGCAGGCTGCAAGTATGATTTGATGAGCCACTTCAGAATCATTTTCTCTCAGAGATTGAGACATCAATAGGCTATTGCTCCTTGCAATGACTGCATATACCTGAATAATAAGATCAATAGATGATTGATTTGATGCTGAAAATGCTGCAGGAATGATCTGCTTGATCACTGAACTGAGTCATTTCTCTCTGAGCCCACACTGCAAGACAAGAGATATAATGATTGAAGCTTAAGCATGTTCTTGAAGCTGATACTTCTTGAGATGAGTGATCAGCAACTGCAGATAATTCTAACTATGAGAAAAAGAGAATGTCTGCAACATTTGAAAGTATTCTAGCTGATCATACAGTGATAAGACAGTACTGATCAGCAATGAGTATGAAATCTCTGATATATCAGTGAACTCACTATGATATGAATCAGAAGGAAAAAAGGAGATCAAATTCAAACTTGAACATATTTGAAAAAGAGACACTGCCTGTGCTGTCATGCTCTACTCTTGACACATTTGCTCTCTGCATGTGAGATTCAGCAGGTCATTCAGTTTAGACTGAAGATGTTGCATATGATGATGAAATCAGCTGTTATTACATAGATCATAGTTCAGATTCAGCTGATTTTTGTCATCAATAAAGCAGCTTCAGCATGATCTTCTTACAGTTGATTCTTTGATCTCTGCATTGCTATTTTGCTGCGGCATATCTCCAAGAAATGCAATGCAAGATGCAACAATCCTCACCTTTTCTTCACTGATATTCATCATAACTCTCTCACAATTCAATGTAGATAAGTCATGTGACAATGCAGTGACAGTGTCAGGAAAATTGATGCCATGAGGACCAAAGATTAGAATAAAAATATTGTTTCACTTCAAGTGCTTGACAGCACTCAGTGCAGGAATCATATAAAAATTCATCAAGCTTCAGTACATGTTCTGATATAAATCAAATCCATCAATAAATAATTGATATGACAGGGAAATAACTTGTATATCAGAGCAAAATATGCTTTTCAAAAGATCTTGACCATGTGCCGCAATTTTCAACTCAGTCTGAATTGGCGAAGATTTGCAATATGGCCATATCTCAACAACTCCAGTTTTGGTCCTCATGACCCAGTGAAGAAAATACTGATCTTGACTCTCATATGCCAGCAGATCAGAACCTGATTCAAATACTGTATTCACATGAATATCAAGTTGATTGAGAACTTGAGTAATTGAGATATATTTCATCTCATCCTCCATTGTGATTATTTTGAAGAGGCTAAATAATGAATTCAAGAACAGTAATCTTTGTGCAGTCTGCAGAGTATAGTGAACAGCTTCTTGAACTTTCAGAACTATCATATGAGATCTCATGTCTGAATGTCAGTGATTATGTCTGATAAAACGCACTCTCTCAATATGAGATATATCATTCAATCCCAATTTACAGTAGCATTTGAGATTCTCACACTGATACTGAATAAAATCAGAAGGAAAAAGAGGTTTATTTGTTAATGAATATCATGCGAAGTCATCAGAACAATATTTGACAGAGCTCTCTCAACTGTGAGATTGCTATAACTCTGTGGAATTGTTGACAATTTCTGTCATTTCTATATGCATTTGTCACCGGAAAGTTGGGGATTTGAGGAGAGCAGATATCAAGAGAATCAGATTTTGAAAGTAGAGTAATCTCATGGAGAATTCAGCGAGATTTTTCTGAGCAGAACTCAGAGTTGATATTTACATTGATGACACTATTGAAATTGAGGTTTTCTTGACTGATAAAATCAGAAATTGTGCTCTGCATTGCTTTTTCAGAGTTGATAGATCTTCAGAGAGCAGACTTATCAGTGATGTATTCTTCAATAAATACAGAATTTGCAGTAGTGATTTGTAGTTTTTTCAGGAAATATCTGACTCTTCGGCTCAGAGTCTCATTGCCAGAACAAATGAATTCATTTCAAAGTTACTGCATTTGTGAGATATATCAATTGCTGGATCAGAATCAACAAATTGATCAGTAATAGTAACAGCAATTGCATCAGCAGCTGGCATTTCAATATCATCAGCAACTGGCTCATCAGGATTCTCTTGATCATCATTTTCAGAAATATTCTTCTCAGCAGCTGCTTTCAAAAGTCACTCAATATGCTCAACATTATCAGCAGCATTCTCATTATATGGCTCTGCCTTTAGGGAATGTTAGTTTTTATAATAATAGAGACATCAAAAGTGATAAACTTACTGAGAATAGCAATGCTTCTTCACTGGGAGCATCATTGTCTGAATCACTGTCAGTGAAATCTTCATTTGCAGTTTCTGAGAAAGGGGGGCTCTGGTGTTGGAATTTCAATTGATCATCCCTGGATTCTTGCCTAGAGGCAGATAGCAGGTAGTGTTTCAGATTTCAATTAAACAGACACGACATTTTGCTTTCTGGTATGATTTGTAGAAAAAAGTTGCATAGTTGAAAAGATATGAATGAAGTGAATGAGTGGTCTTGATAAAATAAAGAGATGAGGTTGAATTACTGAAAAGGAATATATCAATAAGAGCCGCAATCAGTGATAAACATCATCTTAATATTAACAATCATACTTTCTTTGTTATATTCCTGCAAGTAGCCGATTATTTTATCAGAATACTATCAAAATTCTATCAAAATCCCAAAAATAAGCATGGTCATAGACCTCAGTTTAATAGATCTCTCTGAACTCTCTCATCTGGTAGGTTTACTGAGACAAATCGCCGATTTCAAAAGAAATCATATATTGATATATCTGTATCATAGAATGAACATAATGGCATCAATGAAGAATATCAGACAGATGAGGAATCAAACTCATCCCTGACATTCAGTGGTCTGTTAAAGAGACATCACTGAATCCAGCACTCAGATGCAGAAGTGTATGAGAAGGAAATTTGACTGACAGAACAAAAGCTCTGTGTTGAAACCAGATGAATGTATTTTCTTACATTCTCAAAGGACAATCTGGACAAGACAGTCGCAGAGATGATGAAAACAAAGGATAAAACCTCATACATATTCTCATCAAGCTGAATTACAATGCTTGATGCAATAAAGACATGGAAGTCAAGAACATTGAAAGAAATGAAGACAAGTATTTCCAGTATTTCAGATCTTAGCAAAAATCTCAACTTTTCAGCAGGATATATCAAGCCTCTGATGGGATATCTTGACCTTTCAGTGAAGAATCTTAGACAAATCTAAACTTTTCAGTGAGATATCAAAACTTGTCTGATCAACTTAACTAATCATTTATTGATATAGAACCATGTTCAATGGGAGAAGGCAAAAAGCAGAGGAAGTTCAGTGATAATCAGATTGCATAACTGCTATGAAGAGTTGACAATCTTTGACTATTTTTGTGATTCATTTACCGCTGAAAAGTTCTTCTTGGTTTTTTACTGGGCGCGGGGAATCATTGACTTTGATTGATCCTCTGAGTGAGGACAATGATATATGAAATGTAAGTTAACATCAGTTTGAAAAACATCGGACTGGGAAACAAGAAACTGATTCTGAAAAATAGAGATATATACAAATCTGGCAATCCAAGTCAAAATATTTGATGATGCTGATACAAATGAAAATTCCGCCGGAGCTATGCTGCAATGGCAAGATATTCTGACATTTTGGAATCTTATGAGTGATGTTCCTGAATATCAACAAATTGCCAGAGATGATTTTGCAGAGGCAATTCAGAATACTCTGACAGTCAAAAAAAGATGTATGATGGAAGATGTGTGGGAGAAGGTGTGAAAAAAGATAAAATTTTCAGGTGCACTTCCAGCAAAAGACAGGCCTGCAATGTAGAGTGTTCAGTGACACAGAGAGTTCTGACACAACTTATTTCTATTTCAATATATTTAGTTTTCTATGAGTTTTATATATAAATTAGTTAATATATACTTTAATATATATAATTAGAATATACCTGTCTTGATATTCACTGATGAAAATTGTCATATTCTCTAAAATTTGTATGATTATGACTGCAGCAGAATTGCTGATTTCACTGCATCAGAAAATCTTCTTGTTCATCTGAAATTCTGTAGATATATTCCTGACAGTGTGTTGAACACTTGTTTCTGGTTAATAGAAATGATTTTGTATTCAAAATAGCTGTAGTTCATTCAATGATAGCCTGTGCAGAAAGTATTTGTTCTGAAAATAAGATATGAATGAAATCTGCCAGATGTGCTGATTGATTGTGTTTAGAAGTCTTCTGAAATATGAAAGCATTACAAAAGAATCAACAACATATATAAAGAGAATATTAACTTGTCATTCTTCTTTTCTTTTCTTTCTTCTTTCTTCTCGCAATCATATCACAACACAAACATTGATTTATCAGCTCATTCAGCTCACCCAGCCTTTCCTCATCTTCAGCAAGATTAGTATCCTGCCAGTTGCAATAGAAAGCTTTAAGAATCAAAAGTTCTAATATAAGATACTGTGTGTGCACAGTACAGCAAGAATATCAGTGAATCATCACATCAGCATCAACAACAGCATCAACAACAGCATCAACAACAGCATCAATAACAGCATCAACAACAGCATTAACAACAGCAACAACAACAACAACAGCAGCACAAATGACCAGCAACACTTTCAAGTGTACACATGCAGCAGCTGCAAAAGCACAAGAGAAAGAGACAGCAATCAGGCCGAAAACTCCCAATCAGCCAGGCAAGCCAACAATGTGCGAACATTGTGTCTTGTATATCTTTCCCCATCATATTGATGCTGTTTGTGACAAAGTTGAAGGAAGCATGAAGCCATGTTCAAACTGCAATCATGAAAAGAAAGATTGCACAATATGCCCTGATGAATTCAAAGATGAAATCAAAAACCTAGTCCAAACCCATGAGTTTTACCTTGCCATCTCAACAGTCATGAAGGAATCAGTCAAGTCAGCCATGCTGAAGACAGTGAAGGATTTATTCAAGCAAATCAAGAAAGCAAAGACACATCAGCAGGAAGCAGAAAACTAAAAAATGAAGAGTGTAGCTATCATGTTGAAAGCCTCAAATACATCTATCAGTCCCGCTGAAAAAGCCAAACTTGAAATTGAGAAGGCCAAGTTAGATATTGAAAGAGTCAAATTGGAGATTGAAAAGAAGAAAATTGCTATGAAGAAGGAGAAAATTGTCATTGAAAAGACAAAATTGAATGTTGAAAACATGAAGCTTGCTGTCCAGCAGGAGATCTTGAGATCAGTTAACAATCATTATAAGGATCAAAAAGCAGTGATGAAGAATCTCACAAACTTGATCAACAGTGTCAGAGAGAAAGCACAGCACATTTTCATTGAAATGTATGAAATAATAAACTGATTTGAAATAATTGTCAAACTCCTCAGCAATACAGTCAATGAGAGCAGCAGTGACAAGGAATCTGTTAACAGTGACAATTCTCTTCTTCTCTCTGCAACTCTCACTGGTCTCTCTGCCATCACTGCCAATTCTCCCCCTCTCTCCTTCTCTGATCTTCTGACTCTGATGGGTGTTCTGAGTCCTCAGACTTATGAAACAATCACTGAAACAGTAAGCTAGAGTCAGTGAAATGATTCTCAGATTTATTCAGAGATTAATAATTGTATAGACTTTCAAACACCCGGCACCTGATCACCTCAAAACCTCAACTCTCAAATGTCAGATGGCTGATGACAGTGCCTCCCAGACCATGGCTAATTCATAAACCCCAATTTGCAAGTTCAGTGATGTGGTCAATGAGAGCAACATGACTGGGAATGAAGACTATGAAAGAAACTTGGTTCAGTCAATTCAGAAGGATTTAGATAGAAGTGTCTGTGATTTCCAATAGGGGATGATACTGGTGAATGAGATGATTTTAAGAATTAGTGATTATGTAGATTGGATTCGGCGACATTGCTAATATAATAATTGATTTTTTCAGTTTATCACTTATTTACAGTGATTCCACCATTCATTCACCATTATACTATGATTTACAGCTCGGCGACCGTGTCGCCGATTGAAATGGTGGAACAACCATAATCCGGTCGTGTAATAACCCTACGTTCTTCCCGTATGGTATGTTTCTGTAGATAGATCTATCAATACAACCTTCAACTATTCTACAGATTATAGCCCGGATGGCATGTTTTTTTAGAACATTGCACCAACATTTTTGACACAGATAGTTCACCTTTTTTGGAAAGACTCTTACTCTTTATTAGAGATATTTCATTTTCCCTGAATCTGCCAGTCAGTGAATTCATATACTTTATATTTTTAAGAAAGTGTGTTCTTCATTATGAAGAATATCACTTTTTTATCTTTTTTTTTTTTATATATCTAGAAGAAGCAGAGTTATCTTAATATAAGTGATACATCTGTTACTTCAGAGTTCAGCTCAAGATTCAGAATCACATACTTCACTAGATAACTTATTAATAGAATAATCACTCATTATAAGAAAGCTTCTAACTTGTAAGATGAGACTGAGATCAGTTTTCATCAGAGTATGAAATTTAATGATGAGATAACAGAGAAACTTCAGAATAAAGAAAAGCAGAGTTAATATTAATATTTATCTACAGAATCTGTTTATTTCAATTCATTGAATTCTTCATTATCTCTTATTCTCAGAATGTTAACTTTTAATGATGATTCAAATCAATCTATCTATTGCACTGCAGGCAATCTTATGAATCTTATACAGATAATGCTACAGAACTAGATAACTGTGACTGAAATCACTCAACATCTTACTACACCTGTCTCTGTATAAAGAGACACTATAAGAGATAAGTTATAAGAATATCAGAAGAAAGTTAAATATGTACTAAATATTAAATTAGTGATTATATTTAATAACTCTAATTATAAAGTCTGATATATTGATATATTAACTGATACAGAAGTTATTAGTAAAACTAACATTTTATTAAGAACTTAACAAGAATTCTCTTTTATATATTATATTAACTCTGAGAAGTGAAGAATCTGTTTTAAGTCTCTATATAGATGTATACTATCAAGTCTTGTTAAAAATATTCAAATCACTATTAAAATCTTGAAAGCTGACAATACTGTAGCTCTGTGAGATAAGATTAATGTAAAATATGTAATATCACTGACAGAAGAACAAGTTAATATCTTCAAGAAATTGATAAAATTACAAGTTAAGAAGAATGATTATCTTACTTTTCAGAGATATTTTCACTATCTTATTATTTATCATAAGAAGCTCTGTCAGAGTACTGAGAATATATATTATAATCTTTTTCTCAATAATCTGCAGAATTATCAAAGATCATTTATTAAGATATATTTAAATGAGTTTTTCTTCACTGATCAGAGACTCATTGTCAACATTGATATCAATGATTTGATGAAGTAACTGATTAATTATACATTTAAGAAGATCATCACTGAGTGAAAAAAGCAGCCTCAGACTGATTCTGTGACTGTGAAAAAGAACAAAGATAAGAATAAAGATAAGAATAAAGATAAGAATAAAAGCACATCTGTATGAAAGTGCACTCACTGTAGAAGATATGAATATACTGTTGACAGATGTTTCATCTTACACTTAGATAAAAAGAAAAAGAAGAATGATAAGAAGAAAGAGAAGAAGAATAACTTGATAAGTTTTCAATCAGTAGTAAATGCAGTAATTACAAAGATTAAGTTCTATTTCTCTTTCACAGTTATCAGAAAATCATTCTCTAGATCTTAGTATTTAAACATATATATAAGTCTGAATATAATGAGTGAGCTTTATTCTTTTTCAAATATTAAATCTTTTAATGATAACATCTCTGTTGATTCTGTCACTGAGAGAACTGAGTTTATCAAGAAGATTGAGACTGTTATCTTGAAGATTAAGAGTGATAATGTTAACTTGCAGAATGTTCACTATATTTCTAATATTACAGTTAATCTGCTCTCATTTATAAAGCTTGAAGATCAGAGATTTCAATTTACATTATCTTTCACTATTCTCTCATTTTTCATTTACAGAGCTCTGAACAGTGTTATTTTTCATACAGTTCAGATCACTCAGAACAACATATATAAGATTGATAAGTAGAAGTTCAATGAGAATCTCAATCATCTAAACAGAACAGTCAAGTATATTGCAATGATGTCTCATAAGTATAATTTTGATCAAAAAGTTGATCTTTCTGTAACTGCTGTCACTACTGTTAATAATGTTGATTCTGCAGACATGAATACAGGCCTCAAGAATACAAGAATATCAAAGACTCTTTTGAACTGATACTGTAATCTCAGTCATATTCACACTGATGCTACAATTACTATGGTCAAGAATTCTCATACTGAAGTTACAATTAAAGATTCTAAGACTAAGTTCTTTTATAAGAAATGTGTCAAGACTGATATGATACAAGATTATTTAAAAACACTGATGTCTAGATCTATTCAACTCATTGAGAAGATTTATATTAATCTTACAGATGATGAATATACATTGAAAGACCTCTCTGATTATCTCTTAGAGTCTCATCAGAGAATTAAATACTGAATACTTATTATCTATGATGCAACCTGCTATCATTGAGTATATTTTTTAAAGTTCAAGAATGAGGCTGTTCAATACTTTGAGTTGTGACTCAGATTCATGAGTAATCTCAGATATACAGTCCCTGCTTTTCTACAGACTGATATTGATGATGTTTTCCAATTTACATATATGCACACAGTTATGAATTCATATGATATCAAATGAAAATCAATAGCATCACATTCATCACACCAGGATGGCATTTCTGAATGTGGAATTTATACTATTATAGAACAGATTAGAGCTGCTCTTTTAAAAGATAATCTCTCTAAGAAGTTCTGAGCAGATGTTCTAGAGACAGTGATTGCAATAATTAATAATACTCTCACATCTACAGTTCTTTATAACTTGAAATTTTGATTCTCTACTGCAGAGACTTCTGTGATTCTAAGTTTATATAAGATTTCTTAGTGTGCACTTACAAATAGACTGGCCGGCGGGACCATGAATTTCACATTTGATCTCATTTGATCTGGTTTCATACATTTCTTGGTGTGAGTCCCACCAGGACCAAGTCTCAAAGAAATCTGAAAATGAACCATTTCTGAGAGAAATGATGTGAAAAATGACCAGATTTAATTCAAGAACAGTGAAATGAGAGTAATTTCTCAGAATAAATTGTGAAAGATGATCATTCTTCTAAAATCAGAATGAGACTGAGACTGAAGATTAAAATCAGTCTCATTCAGTTCATTCAGTGATTACTTATATAATCAGAATTTGGTAACAATTATTGATAACACTTATGAAATAACTAAATACATTCTTATGTAAGTTTATTCTTCACTTTCTCATGAAAACTACACTTCTCTGATATACTGTGATCAGAGGTATTAAACTGTCTGATAATTTCATGTTTTATAATCATGAGTTTCTTGATTGTTTCTTCTTGTAATTGTCCCTGACAATAGTGATAAATATCTCAACTTGAGTTAAACTTTCACTCCATTCTCACCCCTATCAATGAAATTGTCAGAATATCACACATCATCAGTGCAACAGTTGAATATATACTCTTAACAATTTTTTATAACTCTAGAATTGATTTGATGTGTAAATTTGTCAGATTATCTTGAAGATAGTGATCAAATTCAGTTTTATAAGCATGTAGTTTTACCTGATTTTCAGTTGTAATCAATGTATGTAAGTTCTGTTTCAAAGTTAGTATTATAGTTCTATGAGATATGAAGTATTATCAAAGATTGTTACTTACTAGAGAATTGTATTTCACTATCTTCACATCTCAAACATCTACTCATTCAAATCTCTGATAGTTGGCATTGTAGTAGTCTCAGACTAATTTAACATATGAGTCTCATTTCTCCTCTGTTCAATCTTGAGAAGTGTAGATATTAACTTGATAAGAGAAATCTAGTAGAGCTGCTACAGCATAGTACTCTGCAAAAGATTGTTCAGTTTTGCTGTAGTAATATACCAGTTTATTCCTTACAGTAATAATAGCCTGCACTATAGCATTATCTCAGACTGAATTTCTTTTTAAGTGATTCAACTGCTTCTCAAGATAAGTAAATAAACTATTATACACTCACTAAACTGACTGCAGTATGAGTGTATGAGTGATTGAGACTGTCTTTATTATCTTATAAAACTGAAACAGTAAATCAATCATATATTTCAACTGAGTTCACTTCATATCAGAAAGTTTCAATATCTGAATCTTTTTCTGATCAGAGTGTTGCACTCAATGATCAATCACCTGACACAATCAAAGAGTCTGAACAGTTATCTTATATATTGAACTTCATCATATTCTAACATTCTGTATCATATTCAGTGATGTGACTGATTTGTTTATTTATTGAATATCATGAAATTGTTATTGTTATTTAGAGAAGATACAAATCACATTAGCAATGTTTTAAATCTGTGATATTTAAATTATTAGTCAATCTATTCAAAATTAACAGTAGTATTATCAAAAAGTGTTATTAAAAAGTAATATTAAAAAGTGTTGTTAAAAAACATTATCTTTTATAAAGTAGATGTAAAAGTTACTTGAGTAATTACTTTCATCTCATTCTCATCTCAAGAATCAGTCATCTCATTATTCTTTATCTTAATGTTAAGATTCTTTATCAGTGTTTGTATCACAAGTTAAACCATATGAGCAATGCAGAGAATAT